AAGTCTAGTTTCTGACCTCAGAGTTACTGCCCCCTTTGTGTGCTACGATTCAAACAGGAATAATTACAGTGAATGAATGAGGTTTAAAGCATGACAGGTCGCTCTGCTTAATGTGCCACTCTGAAGCATCCAAAAGCCCATTCTTGTAACATACGATTGCAAATATCACTTGTGATCCATTATGATTCCTCCTGTTTATGACTCATATGGTGTTGACAGTGTCTTAACATCATGAAACCTGCATGAACCATTAAGTGACATCCGGAACAGCTTCAGGCTTTCCAGATATTTCCAGAAGATTCAGTCCACATCAGTGAAGTTATTTTTTCTCTTTCATAAAAAGGAGAAAATGATGAGCGCTGCAGCGTCGTGACTCATTCTGGTGGAAAACGACCTTTACAGTCTCCCTGGGAAATGTGCAATCAAACACACACACACACACACACACACACACACACACACACACCCAGAGTGTATAATCTTCTTTTGGGCATGTAATAATTTGTCACACTCAGCCACCGTGTATCGTAGATAATTTTGCTCTTTGAGCCAGCTTTGTTCGGCTTTATAATAGTCATAATTTGATGGAACTATTCTGTTGACATGGTTGCAAAAGAGAAAGTTACTTGTGTGATTGAGTCTGCTGAAATGTGTCAATAGCCAACTCAGTCCTCTTTTGTAATTCTTAAATGTCAGTAACAATGTTTCATCAAGGAAAAGTTCTCATATGACTGACTCCACGGTGATATTTAACATTTGGGAGCTGAAGCTTCTTGTGTGAAATGGAAAAGGAGCTTTCAAGGTTCTATGTGTCATACAACATACAGACAATTTCAGGAATTGAAACTTAATGAAGCGCTGCTAGAACAGGATTCTTTGAAGATTGAGGAAATGAGTTTGTTGAAGTGTGCAGCTAATATTCAAACAAATAAAACATTCAGGAAAATTCACTGTATGTGAGCAGGTGATGACATTTATGTCACACAAGCGGGGACAAAATGAAGCTCTTCATTGATCCACTGTTGCTCGTATGTTCTTCCCACACATACCTTAAAAGTCGTGAATATGTCTAATTACATGTAGCAGTCATAAAGATGTCACTTAAGTGTCCGACTCTGTAGCTTCGTCCGCCATCTTTCGTCTGGATTTTTCGCAGCATCTTGTACGCGTTAGGGCTTGCCTCCTGAGCATGGACTGTATGAAACATGGACGTAGTCTCAGTAAGGTCACCCATTGATTTCTGAAGCAAACTCTTGATGGCGGTGGCAATATTGAATATTATATCTCAACCTAATTTTTGGTCATCTACCTACAGACAAAGAGGCAGAGTTAAGGTGGGCACTAAGCCTCCTAGCAAACAGCTACAACAAGCCCCCTTGCTGTCATATCAGTCATGTCCCTAATGATGCGTCACTCTCATCCTTTATAAAATCAAAATGGATAAGTTATTTAAAAAAAAACATCCCTAGTGTGTGCCGATAAAGACCAAGATTATTTTTTTCGTGCCTGCTGTCAAAATGGGCATTTGAATAAGGGTTGTGTATGTGACTTCTGGGGCTTTTGCAGCCAGCCTCAAGTGGACAATCAAGGGACTGCATTTTTTTTTGCACTTCCACGGAGGTTGCAGCTTGCTCCTGAGAACCCTCTGCCCGGCAGGGAAAACGTCACGCTGTGAAGTGTGCAAGTGTGAATAAGCTCGATGGTTTCCATGTGTGCATTACATGTTCATGTACCAGTGACTCATTCGCTCATGTAACATGTAGGTGGAAACGCTGGAGGGTTTCACCATCTAACAAAAGCAACGCTGTTATATCTTAAAACCCATTAGCCACATTAATTGTCTGATGAAAATGGTTTTGATGCATAGAGGTGCTGGTGCACTTATCGGGGTCACTGTGCCTTTTTATGAGTGTACTGCTATTCAGATCATATCAATATGAAGCATATGCAGGTTTGGAGTGCGAATACTCTGCAGGCTCAGGGTGAATTGTGAAGAGCCAATGACACAGAGGCGTGCACACGTAAAAAATACCTCATTGTGATTTTGTCATCCTGATGAAAGGATGGGCAGAGATCCACATGCATTCATATTTACAGTACACTGTACGACAATGTACAACTCCATTTCCCCAAAAAATGTGACGCTGTGTAAAATGCAAATAGACACAGAATGTGATAATTTGCAAAACATTGAAACCCCATATTTGATTAATTTCATTGAAAATAGCAAAAAGACAAAATATCAAAAGTTGAAACTGAGGGGCGCCGGTGGGATTGGTGGTTGGTTCGTGCACCCCGTGTATGGAGGCTGTGGCCTCAGGACGGGCAGCCAGAGTTCAAATCCAACCTGTGGCTCCTTTGCTGCAAGTGATTCCCCACTATCCCTGGTTTTCAACACTACCCTCTGTCCTGTCTCTCTAATAAGACGGAACATAACAAGTCAGAACATACATGTAGAAAAAGAAGGGTGAAACTGAGAAATGTTAGTGTTTGTGGAAAAGTCATGCCCATTTCAAATCTGATGCTTACAACATGTTTCACGAAAGTGGAGACAGTGGCATCGAGAGACTGGATAAGAAATGCTTAAAAAACACACCTGATGGTACATCTCATAGTTAGTGTTTGATTTATGTTGATGTAAAGCACTTTGGGATACATTTGTTGTCTGAAAAGTGCTATACAAATAAAGTTTGATTGATTGATTGATTAGTGAGGTTAATTGTCAACAGGTCAATTTCAGAATTTGTTCTGCTCAGTTCCCAAAAGTTGTGAAAAGTTGTAGGTTGTTGCAGGAGTCTGAGGGAGTCTGCAGAGCGACTGATCACCTCTGGAAACAGAAGTCACAGGTGAGCTGGTGAAAAAGCAGCGTATGTCATATAAATAAGAATAGTGAATATGCTTCCCATATCATAGGTTTATTGTAAATATATACTCATTATTCATACCTTTACAAAGTCATCTCGCCCCATGCAAAACATTTGTATCAAAACTTTATTCAGTAGTTCCAGTTCTGGGATAACATTTGCCATGCTTTTGTAACTTGTGTTTTTCATTGGATAAGTTAGGTTGTAACACAGATCATTCCAGGCATCCAGATTTCTCCCTTTTCATGCAGTTTCACAACGAGCTGCACTTCTGCTTTTGCAAGACATTCCCGTCCAACATCCCAAATCATGCTCGACCATGTGTATGGGAGACTACAGAGGGGCCACAAAGGTTAGATTTGATACTTCAGCCGCTAGCTGCTCACTTTGCTACAGAATAGAAGAGCATACAAGAGATTTATGATCATTACAGGAGCAAACACAACGTGTTTGTTTTGTTAAGAAATGTTGTTAAATGTTAGTCATAATGATAATGATTAAAAGAAGCATGCTGATGGATGTCTGAGAGGGCCTTATGAAGAACATATGACAAAAACATTAAAGGGTCAGTTCACCTAATTTTTAAAATATAACAAAAAATGTAGACGTGCAGAGTTTTGATTAATTATACCATATTTTTAATCACAGTGAAACTGAAAGGGATTTTGTTTTAAAAGTTTGCACATAACATATAGAGGAGTGCATTTTTATTCTTCTGATTTGTATTCTCCCTAAAAAAAGGGGAACAAAGGAAGGGCTAACACCTAACCTAGTTCATACTTAATGTGCAGCAACAAAGATCCAAAGAAGCATGGGTAAAGAAACGTAATCTTTATCTAATGTAAGACTTTTCAGGTCAAGAGAACAGGACATCGTTAAGAGTTTAACTTTCCATGTTATTTGTAAAGCTCCTATGAGGAACATTTGGTTAGTGTTGATCTTGGTGACTCCTGTAGACAAAGTGGGACCTCTTACCTCTTACTTCTCAAATTTAAAATGAGTGTATTGCACCCTCATAGAACCGACCCGTCTCAAACTCTGGTCAAATAAAGCCAAAACTGTCTACATGTCTAAATATCAGCAGAGGTATTTGAAGATATGTTCTTAATAGTTTGGGTGAAGAGAAAACTTGAAGATCAACTTAAGCTGGAAATCTTGTTTTTGCAAAGTGAATTCACAGTTGGTTGATATTTAGCCTTTGCTTCACTGTTTGCTTCAGTGTCTTTGACAGAGCAGCTGCAACAAAGCCCCCCAACCCCTAAAAAAAAAATCAACGCTTATAACTCAAAACTGTCTTTAGTGTAACATTGTCAGTGTAAATCCAGGAGCTTACATAATAAATAGATGCTTCAAATGAGCATTAACACGGTAAAAAAAAAAAAAAAGGATTGAAATCGTCTGATGTACAGCTCTCCCTCTGAATGTATGTTATCAGATTCATGACTACAAGTTCATCAACTTGAATTCTAAGTTATTGTCTCACATATACAAGGACTCCTCATATGGGACTCGTACACTATCTGACACTACTCGACACGAATGAAAAAGAAAAATCTGTTTTATTTACCAAAGACGAGCGGCTTCACTCTGAAGTTTAAACATCCAGTATGATTTCGGGCTACGGTGCAGTTTTGTTTCATGTCACATATCAAAGCTTATTTCTTCAGAAAAGACTGATGCTACTGTACGTTGTGCTATCTTCTTCTTTTTTTGCCAACGTGTCACATAATTAAAAAAAAGTCATAACTCAAATGTTCTTTGTAATAAAAGCTGTACAGACACACTGCTCTTTTGAAGGTTGAAGCGATAGGATGATGACTGGGCCTCATTAGTCATGGGAAATGTATGTGTATATGTTGATGAGTAAAAAGTACCTCTTTTATCTCTACAATTATTCACTATCTTTACATTAAAGAAAACATATGAAGAGAAGATGAGTGCTTGATGGGAAAACATACCGGCTACCTTGTGTTGACAATTAACACAAAAACATCAGTAACTGAAAAGCACAGACTCACAATCATCACGGGGAAAACTGCTAAAGAGTCAACACAGCTTAAGACCGACCAATAAAAATCAACAGAAACATCCAAACAAACAGCAGCAAACACAAAAGAAAAAACAGATAGAAAACCATGCAGACAAGAAAAAAAATGTTTATTGAACTTAAGTAGGAATGTAATCAAACTGTGGTCTGTAATGAATGAAGACAAAAAAAGAAACTACAAACACAAAGTAGGTGCTAAACCTACAGACAACCTCGTCTCAGTCCTGGTCCAGTCATGTTTCTTTCTACATTAAATTAAACCAAAGCTGCTGGTTAAAAAAAAAAAAAAAGAGGAGGCATGAAAAGGTGACAGATCTATCAGGAGTTCTCTATGAGGATGTTTTAATCAGAGGTTATGCTATCAGTGCATGGTTCAATTCTGCTCACTGCTCAGACAGCGGCTCTTTACAGGTTCAGCCTCTCTGACTACACTAAGAAAGTTTGTTCATAAATAAAAACAACAACGACATAAAATAACACCCGTTTGTTCTTGAACCCGGACAACAGTTTTTGAGAAAAAAAAGAAAGAAAAAAAAGTTGCTTGATAATTGGATCTTCTGCTAGGTTCAGTTCTGGCAGTTTGAGAATTGGCTGAGATATAAGCAGATGTGTTTTTTTTTTTCTTCTCGATCCTCTTCTGTTGTTTGTTTTGGTTTTTCTTTTCCCTCCATCAGATCCGTCTCGAAGCTGATTTGCTCACTCCACTTTGCTGTAGTCGTCTACGTGGCCCAGCACCTTCTTCCTCTGCCGTATCATGTGGAAGTAAAGCTGGGGGAACACTGGGAGGGGGGCAGGGGGGCAGAGGGGGATCAGGGTGCTGTGTTGCTGGACACGGTTTACCTTTTTATCACGCTCAGTGGCAATTTTACAAAGTACACCTGTATAATCTAACACAATCCAACACAACAGCTTTGACAGAAAATAATTTTAAACATAAAAATGACATTTTTGGGTCTTGTTATACCGTTACAAAAAGGCATACTTGTCACAATGACTTTGAATCCCAACAAAAATCTCTCTGTCTTGTCTTTTGACACCTTTGTGTTAAATCACTCCAGGTTAGACTCTGACCGGGGACTCCTTTACCGGAAGTTTCCCCCTCTATCTACTGTCCTCTCAAATCAAGACATAAAAGCCCCAAAAATCTATCTTAAAGAAAACTACCAAAATGTGGGTGCCAAGGATCTCTATTTTTGTTGCCGTGGTATTGAAACAGATATCAATGAAGTTTGATTTTTACTATTATCATATCGAAGGTAAGATCAACCTATCAAACAGATAGATATTTGGGCTTTTTATGCCTTTATTTAGAGACAGGCAGTGGATAGAGTCAGAAACCTGGAAAGAGAGAGAATTGGGAACATGTATGAAAGGAGCCACAGGTTGGATTTGAACCCGGGCCTCCCGTTCTCGAGGACTGCGGCCTCTGTACATGGGACACATGCACTAACTACTAGGCTACCAGCTTCTTTTTAATGTTTTTTTTTTTCCAGGAGCAAAAATAGGTTTAAAAATGTGTTATATTACATCAATTGATAAACTTACAATCTACAGTTTGTACGTTGTGTTTCATTTTCAAAGCATGTCTAAGGTCACGGTCACACTGGCCATCCGTACCGTGCCCAAGCATGCTTCAACGATAAAGTCCAGTTCGTTTGGCCAGTGTGACCGCGCCCTAAACTAGATTGTGAAATAAATTCACCTAAAAAATGCCAAAACCCCACCACAAGAGGGCGTTAGGGAGAGCAGTGCAGTAGCACACTGTTGCAGCAAACTGTACCAAACTACCTTTCTATACCTTTTGTGTGACATGCTACGTCGCATTAGCTCGTGCAAGTCTTGACTTGTGTATAAGTGCACAGGCAGAGATTGCTGTCAGGATGTGAAGAGATTTCATCAAATGCAACAAAATGACAAATCACTGGCCTTAAAGTGCAGGACAGTGAGTTGTTACAACAATAAACAATTTTGCCACCTTTTGACAGTTAAAAACCCTTTCCTGTAATCAAAGTCTGAAGCTAAATACATCATACACTGTTGAGTTGATGCATTTTTAATTTTCACTACAAAAAAAAGGAAACGTTATCATCTGCAGGGTGACTTACGGGGAATGTAGGAGATCATTGTGAGGATGAGGAAGGTGTAGTAGTCGAAGGAGAAGTTGTACTTGTTGGGTAGAGTGATGGAGTACAGGCCCGTCTTCTGCACGAACGGCAGCGCTGCATAGATGGTCAGCAGTTCCCCGGTCACCCCCATGGGATACAGCGCGAAAAAAAAGGTGTACCTGTGGCAGAGGGGTTTATGAAAGGGAAGCCCGGGGAGGGAAATAAATAATAAACACACAATGCTTTATTGGTCAATGTTTCTGCAACATGAGAGCTTAAACAGCAAATCACTGCAGGACATAAGCATGATTTGCTTTCCCACTGTCTGCACCACAACCATCAGTGTGATTGAATGCCAGTAAACCAACGAAAAATATGTTAATATTAATGGACGAAGCCTGAGTGACGTCAGTCATCTGTTCATGCAGGGGGCTCCGGGGGCTCATCGGCAGCAGCCGCCATGCTGGAAATCCTGTCTCAGTCTAACTTTCAGTCAGTCTAACGACAGGCTGAGAGCTGAGGCGGGTTTTACACACTGTGTGTTGCTACACACTGTGTTTTTAATAACAATAACTCTTCTCACAAGTGGAAGTGTAGATACTGTGTAATTTTCTATTATTGTATTTTTTTATTTAACTGATGTAAATATGTTTGATTATTAACTTCTATTTTTATTTTGCATAATTATATTCCTGTTTCCTGTTTTCTTGAGCTGCTGTAATGCAAACATTTCCCCCATGGGGGATCAATAAAGTTTATCTTTATCTTTTATCTTTAAGCCTCCTGACAAAACTGCTACACTTGGCCCACCTGTAAATCATGTCAGCTATGTGCCTAACTATGGATAACACATATCTTTCAAAAAATCGAAACGGATGCTTTATTAAAAAATTCACCGCCCATACAGTGTATGCCCATGATGACAATAACTAATCAGACCTATTTTGTTCTTGGTACCAGGCTGTAGATCTAGATATTTACTGGCAGAGCTGCTGAAGCATCGGGCCTTTGGTGAAAACGCTCATGATTACATATAATTATTATACTTAACTTCTTCTACAGGGTTAAAAATAAATGAAAGACAACATGTTCATTCTCTTCCTGATCCAGCACTAAACCCAGGGACTGTTTGCTCTGATCTTTCACTAAATTGCCTTCAGATGCACAATCTATTTTTCTGCCCTTCAACGTGCCACTGACATGAAAGTCGAACACCAATATAGCGGTGGTCTCATTTGCTACCTAGCAACAAAGGCTGCGGAGAGGGAGGCACTTAACAACGGTTGCCTTGGTTGAAGATGCAGATGAATCCCATCAAGAAGATTCAGAGATGTAGGATGAAGTGGAAGGTTTCAAAGGTTAGAGACATTAAAAAGACATTTGAAGACATTGACTTTGGTTTTTTGTAAGTTTGAAATTGATTTTTTCCACTGTTTTTTTGTCCTTTATAGTTGAATGACTTTAGTTTTAATTATGAATGTACAGATTATTATGACCATTATGTGATGAATCAGGGGTGGGATAGAATATTGATGCAGCAATATATAGTCCTGACTCGTGTGATCAATCATCGTATCGCTGGTTACAATTAAATATAATAATAATAATAATATATAAAATATAATTAAAAATTATATATATATAATTTTTTTAATGGCACTCTTAGCATTTTTTCTGCTAATTTGTATCACTACTCCCTGACTCCTCACGGTGGTGCTCATGAATTTAATGATAGTAACATGAACGGGAGTGAACCGACCATAGAAGAAAAAGATGGCGGCTTGAAAGAAGTCTGCAGCATAATGTTGGACAGCAGCGAGAAGAAATCAAAAGATGAAGCGTTAAAAGAGATGACACTAAAGTGTACTAATTCCCCGAAGGCTCAGGGAAGTAAAAATAGAAAAGAACTATGTGCAAAGTTTTGCAAACTGTGAGCATGGTTTCATAAAAACAGATAACACATCTGTGCACACGGATTTGTTAACTATGGGAATATATCTTCAAATATTTTTTCCTTACCTGAGCTCTGACAATTGAAATAAATGAATACATGAATCCCGCACTTAACTGTTTTCACATCTAACCAGTTACCAACACAAAGAAGTTGACTAAACAGCATTTTCATCATTTTTGGTCATCTGTAAATACTCATTTCAACAGACGAATGTTAATTATTTACTCTGTGTTTTCAACGAGTAGACACATGTGCCCTCCTCGTGTTGGTGGTCCTACCTTGCCCATTTGATGAGGTATGGCAGGTGGTTGAGCAGGCTGAAGGTGTAGAAGGAGTAGCGGATGATCTCTGTGACGGTCCAGGCTGTGACAAACAGCAGCACGCTGTCCTCGCTCTGCACCTGCAGACACACACACACACACACACACACACACACACACACACACACACACACACACACACACACACACACACACACACACACACACACACACACACACACACACACACACACACACACACACACACACACACACACACACACACACACACACACACACACACACACACACACACACACACACGACGGTGAGAGGGAGGAGAGAGAAACAGACGGGTGTCCATCATGCTGCTGTCGTTACACTGCTGGAAACTAATCTAAACCTTTCAGCCCAGAAACATGCTTGTTTGTTTCAGATGCTCAGAGATCAGCTCACACTGCAGGCAGAGCGTCTCTATCGTCAGACATTGGGGTTAAAAACGATGCAAATAGGTTGTTATGAAAATAGCACACGTCTTATTGCAGACTCATAACCAACAACACATTTTCATCACACAAAACGAGAGCATACTGAGAAAAGTCAGTATATTACCATCAGAAGGCACATAAAAACATGAAATACAAACATTATTTACAACAAAAAACGTCAGCACATTCAATCCTGCAACCCTGCAGCAAGACCGTCAGACACTACTTACACATTTACAGCTCCCCGATCTATTCACAGGGCAAACAGCATATCAGTGGGTCACTTTTGGACATTCTTCAGTCATATTTTTTTTAGTACCAGAGTGAGATTTATTTGTGAGGTAGAAAGCTAGAAAAAAAAAAGTAAAATAAAGATCTTACCTCCCTGACGCTGTGTGTGACGGCCCAGGTGAGAAATACTCTGGACATGACCTGGAATCCAGTCAGGACTACAGAGGACGGTACGATCCCTGGGATACGAGACAAAAGGTAAGCAAATAAATACACAAGCATGAAACAATACTACAATGTGTGAATTTTGCTTCTCAAGACATTTTCAGGTAAAAAAAAACAAAACAACTACCCGACAGTTTTTTTTCTCCATTTAATTTGAGTTTAAATTGAAGTTGCAGTTTTATTTGCTCACTCCAAACATTCAATAAATTGGAGATTAATTGGTGTCTATTTCGGCGCCCCTTGTGGACAAACTGGTCATGTTTTCATTTTGCTTATCTTGTCCTGTGCATCTCTAACTAGTGTTTCATTGACTAAAAAAATCTCATACTGCTGTACTTTCACAGTTAGAAGTGCTGTGCAGTGGAAAACTTTTAGAAGAAGTCTGTTTCTGCAGGGTGCTGTCAGTCGCCTCGTCGGAAGCCTGACGCCTAGCAGCCGTTTCAGGCATTAAGAATAACTTCATAGAAATAGTCAATCTTTATGCCGATGGGCTTTTTTGATTTTTTTAGCACATTAAGAGTCGTCAATGTTCATTTGAGTTTTTTTTTTTTTTTTTACAAATTAAAAGTCTTCTCGGGAGCTTTAAATCACACAAGCCTGAAAAATGCAGCGTAAGCATTGTTCAGTTCACGCCTCCTTCATATTTACAGCCAAGAGGTGAAGTAACGTGATATGAGATCAAGGGAGAATTGTATGCTCACTGCTTAGCCATTTTATGATTTATTCGAGAAGCACCACAAGTGTTTTTTTTTTTTTTTTTTTTTCAGGGCAAGCTCGTTCTTCTTGGACTTCACTTCTGTTGGACTTCATAATGGCAGACATCGCATAGAGAAATGGATGTCAAATGGGATTGAGGACTTAAACGGAGGTAATGACTTTCAGAAATAAAAAAATCTAAAACACACAAAACATATTGTGACAAAAGAAAGACAAATATTGATAGTAGTGGAGTTAGTGTGAGTTTGATCCAAATGAAAAAGGGCCCAGATATCAGAGGTGACGCATTATCTTTAACTTGCCAGCAGAGAGCAACCTAGAGTGAGTGTTTGAGAGATTGCTCTGAGTGGACGGCAGCTGAAGGGGGGCGCGATTATCCTCCATTAATCCCAGATAATGAAGGAAAAAGATTATGAGCCTCGGCTAGACAGCCGGACAAGAGCTGGTGTCTCCTTTTACATGCAGAAGCCACAGGAGCCAGAAGGTTCTCTCTGCTTAAAATCACTGAAGAAATAATAAGCTTCTGTTGCTCTGCACGTATATTACATCAGATAGAAATCTTCAGAGGCTTCATAATAGTGACTGTGTCGTGCCATTACAAGCCTCCAGAGCAGCATCAGCGCTCTGCTTTCTGAACACCAAATGCAAAACTGTGGATGATTTAATGGCCGTGTTTGGGAGCACCTTCAAAAAGAGCATCTGTTCACAGATTTTTTTAATATTTTTTTTACTCCACAGGGGGTTCAGCGCACATTGGCACATCGCACACAGTGATACTTCTATGCTCTTTACCCTCACAGACATGAGCAGACGATAAGGCTTACACCATGTTGACCCTGGTGGTTATGTCAGTGGATGGTGTAATATGACTTTTAAACACACACAAGTCTCCCGCATGTGTTTGCTTTTCTTAATATAATCTGATTATTACGTTGACATCGGTCAAACAGTGACCTTTGCGAGACTGAAGTAAAACTGAAGGAGGAGTGGAAATGATCAACGTAGATGAAGAAAACTCACCGACAGCACAGTGTAGAATCTGTGAAAGGCAAACATAACAGAGAATCACTCAACCAGCTTCTGAAAGTAAAGTACATGCAGCACATGGCAGCTTCTTTTAACTCGCACAACACAGTCTCCTTATACACATTTTGTTTACAATCAAACTAAAGCGTATCCTATTTCATTATCATCATTCATGTTACACTTTTAAAAGAAACAACTTTCACAACTCTAGGATACAAAACTCAATAGTTTATCAGTTGTGTTTTGGCACTGGATCAGTTATGCATCGTGGTGCCGGCAGTGTTCAGTGAGAGCTTTAAGTTATTTTATGAATGGAAGATAAGGAGCGCTATCAGTAGCTCTGGAAAGGATCACGACACTCCTCTTCTCTCGCTGCTTAGCCGCTGCACTAACACACCAGTGTTCATGTAGGTGTGTGAAAGAACATTGTAAAAATGTGAGGGGACGACACAAATCTCTTGGAACTAGTTTGGAAATAGCAGCGGCTAAAAAAATAGCAGGGGCTCTCCTGTAAGTGTCCACTGACAGCGTTTTTTTAAATGCAAATCACTCTGTGCTACATTATCAGTGTATGCAAAGGGCTCTACAATAAAGTTGTGTTTATTTATTGTGTTTTTTGCGCTGATATGTTACAGAGGACATGTCAAACACTTCAGAGATAACAGGTCTGTGAGGACCTTTGAATTTGAATCCTGATTTTATTGACATGTTAATGTTGAACAGCCACAGATTTATAAGATAAGACCAAAATACACCATAAGTGAGTCCCTGTAGGTTATGTGCTGCTTGGGCTGTTTGTCTTGTTTTCTTGTTTTCTTTGATGAGAGAGCTCCTGATTACATTTAAGTGATAAATACTCAACTTCTCTTGAAAGTATATATACCCCCCGAACACAATTATCAGCCATTTGTAATCTCTCGTTGTGCCCGTCTCACCTCCAGCAAAGCTCCGGTTTGAAAGAACTTCAGGGGCTTCTCTATGGAGTAGTAAAGCCCATGGTAGCTTCCTCTGGCCAGGTAAGCTCTGACCAGACCCACAGCTATCACCAGCCACCTGAAAAAAAACCACAAAAACCACAGAATCCTTTCAGCAGTAGTAAACAGCAGCAGCTTGTACTGGAAGATCATACAAGCAGAAAATGTAGAAGCGTCAGTCACTGTTTTCTTTGCCGTAGCTGTAATAAGCATCTACAAGCTGAAGACATTCAGAAATGAAGACTTATGTTAAACAATATTAATCTAATAGATCAACTAGGTCAAATGAAATTCATACTTCCAGGGAAAGATGTATTGTTTTTTAAGTATAAATATTAAAAACTAGCTGATAGGTGATATTAAAACAGGTAAATGCTTTGATGCATGGTAAGAGAAGTGATGAAAACAAACAAACAATCAAAGATTTTCTATAATCATGCAAACCAATCCATTACATCAATTAGACTCGCTCCTTCAACACATAAGTCAGAGCAAATGAAAGTACGAGTAAATCTGAGATTTTTAGCTAGACCAGCCCTGGGCCCGAGTGAAAGATTTTATTCACTCGATGCTTTCACTGAATTAAAAATGTTGCTTGCATCCATTAGGAGTCAATCTAAGTCATCGGGATGAATATCAATATCTGAGCCCGTTGGGCAGAAACTGCCTGCTTAGCTGCTCTGAATGCAGCCTCTGCATTTGAGGGAAACTGTGGATTGTACGACACCCTAACGTTTGCTCAATACAAAGCAAGCACTGTATTCATGGCCCATCAAAACTGAGACTCACACACAATGTGACCTAACTGGTTGGAACAGGGAGCACACAACACCCACCATTCAATTGTGCAACAGTCTGAAACCCAGTGCAATAAACACACACACACACAGATTTTTTCAGCAAGGCAACAGAGATATAAGATATGTGTGTCTGTTCTTTATTACACATCATTAAATTGTAACAATTTAGTGTTAAATCCACTGCACACACTGCAATTTATTATGCTGTATAGTAGAGTGTATAGTAAAGTAAATAGAAGAAAAAATGTACAATATGTTATTTTTTACTGCAAAATGGATTCAAAGCACAATCTAAATGTTAGCACAAAAGGCAACCACTATCATTTCCTTTGCACACTTATTTTATTTTACTAAAGTTTATTTAGCTACATTAATTTCATATAGCCTATTTTTTTTTTAATATGTTTGATATTTTAAAAAAAAAGCTGTATTTTTATTTCTATAGGAAATTCTGACAGGGAGGCTCTTCAGGATAATTTTATGCCTATGTTTCTAAGTAGTTGACATGACCCTCACTCTTTAACATTAAAGTAACACAGGGGATCTTAACTAAAGTTGCAACTGTCTTTGATTTCTTTTCTTTTTTCATTAAAACATAAATTGACACTCAAAGTATCCTTAAAATTGAAGATAGAAAAAAAAAACAGGTCTGCAAGGTTGGATAGGTAAAACTTTTCACAACAACTAAAAGATATATTTATGATATTATTACAAATAAAAAAACCTGCATTAGGGCTGTTTTAGATTGACTTTAAAGTCAATATAGTCTTCTTTTTATTTTTATTTTTTATCAATTACTTCGATTTTAGTCTTGACTTTTATTTGGTTACCATTACAGAGAATTTGTGAAAAGACAAACCATCTTTTTATCAGGCGTTGTTTTTTTTTTAATTTTATTTAGATTTGTAATGTGATTTGTTTCCTTTTTTTTTTTTTTTTTACGTATAAGTAAAAAATCAAATTCAGTCGTTGGCCTGCAGAAATAACCAAATAAATATGAATAATAAATGACAATGCATTGAGAAAAGACGCCCTTTCTGCAGAAGAAGAAGATCATAGAGTGTAAATAGGTCTAGATGCGGACACTAAACCATCTGTCTTATTATTATTATGTCTGTATTGTATGCGACGTGGTGACCCGCCAGTCACAGTTCATGTGCACGCCGGGTGTCTGTCTGACGTTAATCTGCAGAAACAGTTGAACGTGGGGCACGCAGACTCAAATTTATGTCACTACACAGCATGCTTGCCCTGTTTCCAATTATAACTAAGTGCAATTTGCAGGTTAACAGCCCAAAAATAACACTACAACAGGGAGATCCTGCTCCCATTTTCAGTCCTCACACACTCCTACAAAGCAGCATTAGCACGAGGAGGGAACACGCTACATACCCCGCTGTCATAACAACGTTATAAATGACCAGGTAAGCCGTGGCCAGGGCACCGGGTCCCTTCTTCTTCTTCTGGACCACATCGCTGTGTCCCGTCTTGCTGGTCCCCGGAGCAGCTGCCGACATGACTGCAACCCCCAACGGTCTTTGGTCCTCGTCTGCACGGTCGGTGGCTGTCAGGTTCACCGAGTCAGGAAACGAACTGGGGCCAGACCCGGATGTCTAATCCTGTAAGCGAGAGGATTCACTCCACTTTACTCCCGGCTTCGCAATGAAATGCGCTCACTCGAATCACCAACATTAAAATTGATGCAACTTCCCTTAATAGTCGACTTCATCTTTTAAGGTTTGACGTTAATATGTTGTTCAGTACTGCTTATTCCACCCAAAGTATCCGCAAACGTTAAAAGTACTCGAAGCGCATGAACGATCTTGAACCGAGTTTGTACTCTTTGTCAATTCTTCTGATTAAGACGCTTTGTGATAGCGCCCTCTATTGTTCGTTTAGACTACATGCCAAGAGGTGCTGCTTGTCAACAGGCAACTGCTTGGGGTTGCCTAGTTATTATAAAACATTATAAAACTACAACACCAAAAAACAACGAAGAAATCAAATCAGTTAAATAAAAACAGTGCTGGTACAATTTTAAAAATATGTTTGCTTCTCACCATGTTGAAACATGAATATAATCATAAAATGTTGGAATTTGTTAGGAGAAATTAGAAATCTACCTTAAAAAGTATATTTGATTACCTTGTTGGTAACATTGTTCTAAAATTTGGAGACTGAAGAGATACGAGTCTTTGTGCAGTTGAGCCAATTCGTCTGTAATATCCACATTTGAGACGAAAGTAAACACTTAAAGTGTTTAGTAAAACAATGCGACTTAAACAAAATAACTTTGTACTAATTCACTACTCACTCCATATGCACAGAGTATGAGGAGCAAGTTTTGGTAGGCTACTCTATTATTTAATATTTCAGGGAAAGGGTATGGACAATTATCCCCTATCAAATAATACTCACAGTACAGAATAACTTCAAAACAAAATACTTGTTTAATTTGTTCTGTATACAAGAAGCATATTTGGATACTATATAATACTGGATACTGGATATTGGATACTATATATGATGTACGTCGCTTTGGAAAAAAGCGTCTGCTAAGTGAATTGTAGAATTATAAAATATAATAATAATAATCTACACTTTTGTCAATAGCTTTCTTTAAATTGTACTGTGTTCACTCTTTTGTCTGCAATTTTTGCTCTTTGCTGCTGTAACACTGTAAATTTCCCCATTGTGGGATAAATAAAGGATTATCTTATCTTATTTTATCTTATAAACCTGTATTTAAGATTTTAAAGGAAGCATTTCAATATAGCCGAGACAAAAAGCCCCTATCAAACAGTGCGCTCCATACTACACAGAGCCGCATGGTAGCATATATCAATAGGTGGCACTGTTTGGCAGAATACCTGTCATTGAATTGATTGGACTTGTAAAGATAAAGATAAAAAGATAAAGATAAAGATAAAGATAAAGATAAAGATAAAGATAAAGATAAACTTTATTGATCTCCCGTGGGGGAAATTTGTGCATTACAAGAGCTCAAGAAAACAGGGGACGGGAAATAATTATTAAAAATAAAAATAGAAGTTAAAAATCAAATCAAACATATTTACATCAGTTAAATAAAAAAAATACAATAATGGAAAAATTACCGAGGAGGTATGCAGTCTTGATTATGCTACCAGATCTTTCTCTCCACTTTTTCTTCTCTCCACTAGATGTCAGTGTTTCCTTATATTTTTTACATAAGGAACATCGGGCGTCAGAATGAATTCAGAGCATTGTGTGTAATATTTTAAGAGTACATATTAACAAGTATTTTACACAGAAGGTAAAAAAAAGAAAAGAATTAAAAGCCGAAGACGAATTTATATACATATAAAAAAAAGATTAAACTCCTGCATTTGCGGCGTCTAAAAAAAAAAAAAAAAAAAAAAAAAATTGTCTTCAGGCTTTATTGAGGGCAGCCAAGTTTTCCGGAAGAGCAACTGGTGCGAGTTTAATGGACAAGGAAGAGATATTTGTTTAGGTTTAGTCAGGAAAACATACATTCTTTTTGTTGTTTCTTCAGATTGTCTTGCTCTTTTTTAATTCGTTAGCATGCCTTTGTTTGCCCAAAATCCATTTGACCAAGATGTTGGTGAGTGAAGTGCTTTTTATTTGGTGTTTTTCAGTGAGTCAGTTAACGATAGGGCCAACAACACTTGAAGCTAACGCTAGCTTAGCTTGACTTCTTCGGTTCGTTGTGGCATTTTAAGTTTAGCTGCCGGTGTCGACAACAACAACAACAACAACAACAACAACAACAACCTCAACAACCTCAAGTCGCTGTTACTTTGTCGGCCTGTCTGGTTGTCATTAACTTCAGTTCAGATAGTCAGTCAGCTCATTTTCAGTCTGTTATTCATGTTTATTATCATCATAAAAGAATTGTGTAGATATCTGATTGTTAGTCAACATCTAAAGGTGTTTGTTGTGTTTTATTACTGCTGTAGTTCAGTCAACATTAACGGTGTTTGTTGTGTTTTATTACTGCTGTAGTTCAGTCAACATCTAAAGGTGTTTGTTGTGTTTTATTACTGCTGTAGTTCAGTCAACATCTAAAGGTGTTGGGCCAGGCATATTGATTTATTTATTACTTTTAATGCCCAGTGTAACCCAAAGTGTTTCACAGAAACAAAGAGAATTATAATAAGAATAATCTATGATAATAATGAGCTTTATTAATATTCCAAACCAAAGTTACCAAGTGCACACACAAACAAACAAACAAACAAACAAACAAACAAAAACACACAAGAAATAAACATGTTAAAACAGTACAACAAACTGGGCGATATGGACCGAAACTCATATCTCGATATTGTTTAGCTGAATGGCGATACTATCGATATGTATTTTATTAACAGTGAAAACATATGGAAAAATAAACTACCTGTTTGGGAATTTAATATTATAAAATAAAAATGTTCCTTAAATACAATAAAATAGAGAAAGAGAGAGAGAGAGAAGAGGAGCAGGGTAAAGAGGCACAGAGAGTCATCATCAGTGAGATGAGAAAAAGAATAGAATAGAATTACTTTATTGATCCCAAACTGGGAAGTTGTGGCGTTACAGCAGCAGGTTATCCAAACACACAATATGAGTAAAAAAACACAATGTTAGCAAATCTAAACACAATATAATATTAAATACAAAGTAAATAAGTACTAAAAGATATCAAAAATAAGAATGTGAATATATACAACCAGGATTTCACTAAGCATTACTAGTCTTAAATAGGAAGATTGAATGTAAATGTGCAAAAACAGAGTCGTAAATGGTAGTAAATTAAATATGAAAGGTTAAATGTAAATGTGCAAAAACAGAGTAGTAAATGGACAGTATTGACATAAGTTAAAGTGCATGAGTGTAGACATATTATAAGCAGAAACTATACAATATAACGGCGAGTAGACAGCCATAAAGGTGACCTGGCACCTCTATAACGTTATTTTAATGCAACATAAACTATATCCATATTAACGATATTGTCTTACCCTAGATCTTGTTTGAAAATATATCAATATATTTTAAAAACTCGATATATTGCCCAGCCCTACAACAAAGTATACATTTTTCATTAAGGATAACATTTAATGTGAAAGAATATTCAATAAAAAGTCATGCCAAACGGGCGAGTCTTTATCTTGGATTTAGAAATAGTAAGCAGTGTTTCTGATCTTCGCTCCTCAGGCAATTTGTCCCAAAATTGAGAAGCATAGTCGCTAAATGGGACTTCCCTATGTTTAGTTTTTAATCTTGGGACGGCCAATAATCCAGAACCAGCGGACCTAAGAGGTCTGGGAGGTTCATACTGGGTCAGAGGGTCTGATGGGTAACTTGGAATTCCTAATACCTATGATGACAAAACAGTGTCTAGTGTCTGTGTTGAAACGTCCACCTTTAGCTTTTTATGACTTGCATTTGTGTGACATGGTATAAAACCAAACATTTCAATGGGCCGAATTAAACGATTAAGCTTTTGGCTGCATCGAGTCAGTTAATTATGAAGCCTAAGCGTATTTATTTGTGTTGTAAAAATGCTTTCCAAATAGTTGCGTTATCCAAATTTCATGCAAACTTCCCCGGTCATGTTACTTATCAGTCCCTGCAACACCACGGTTCTCGTTCTATCAGACAATGGTGCGCTGTCTCACTTAACTGGCTCACTTAACTGAGTGGTGTAGTCAAGATGATGGCAATGACTGGTTTCAGGATTTTAATAGAAAATTGGCACATAAGTGAATTCCTCTTTGTATGACAATGCTGGAGTTTGTAAAGTCTCCTGACAAAAAAAAACAAACAAACATTTTAACAAAATGTCCAAAAAACAAAACTCGTAACATTAATGGAAAAAGTGCAGATTTTCTTTGTCACACAGCAGATCTTATGAGTGTGGCCATTGTTCAGGCTGTCTCCTGCTAATCTGATCACAAGTTAAAATGTTTCAAGACCCACTTAACACATTAAATGTGAAATTTAGTTGGCTCAACCCAACATTGCTCCGCTCTAAAAATGTGGCAGCTCAACATTGCTATTCATTGCTATAACATTTACCCGCTGTGGCTGGCAGGCCTGCCTAACATAATATTATGTCTAAAGATAAGAAACCGTGATTCCAGTAAAGATATATCCTCATATGCACTGTTTCCTTGTTTGACAAATTTACAGAAAAGGCAACCAATGAAAACAACACCACAGATGACTGGGGGCTCATTATGGACATCTGTGATAAGATTGGAACGACGACCAATGGGTAAGCTGGAGAAAAGGCATTTCACTCAAAGCATCTAGAGCTGAATAGGATATGAGCAGCAACGATAACTAGGTTACTTTTTAAAGGGAAGTACATTTGTATAAGATCTCCATCCATCCATCCATTATCTACACCACTTTCCCGTTCTGGGTCGCGGGGCTGCAGCCGATCCCAGCTGTCAGTGGGCGAGAGGCGGGGTAACACCCTGGACTGTTCACCTGTCAATCACAACGCTGTATGAGACCTTCAGTGTGAAAACAATCAGGGCCCGCACACAGGATCATCTCTGCTGTAAGGAGTGTGTTATAAAGTCAGTTATTTTACGAGCATGAGCAATCATTT